AAATCATCCATATACAACAGATGATTAAGCTTCGCCTACAGTGTTGTTGTTTTTTATGCTGAAACCTGAGTCAGTGGAGTTCAATAGCTGGGATAGTGGGTTCATCGCTAGACAGAACCACAAGGAACTTAGCGAGTCTCCTTGGAATAGGCCGCGGTTAATTGTAATATTTTCCGTTTCGATATTTTTTTCACCAGGTATATTGGAGGTGAATTTTAGTCTTCCAATCTGTCATTATATGTCTTAAGAAGGTTACTATATTATCATCGACTTTATATATTCTTAATATATCTACCAGCCATTCATGCGGCACTGAGTCAAAGTCTTTCTCATAGTCAATAAAGGCAGTGAAGAGATTCCTTTTTTTTTGTGTATGCCTGGTTAGAAATGACTGAGTCGATAATAAGTTGTTCTTTGCAACCCATGGAGCCCTTAGCGCATCCTTTCTGTTGAGGTCCTATGAGTATTATTATTATTATTACCCAGATTTAGCCATACGGCTCACACTCCCTCTAAGGGGAAAATTCACTCATCCCAGATACCTACGGTATCACAAGGATTGAGCTCTGGTGTGACTTTTTTCATGTTATCGAGTCCTAGGTGACTTGGTACGTCGGTGTATCTCCTAAAAATTTTCGCACGCATCTGGACGTCGAAAGTAGCACAGCTTTCTGTATGACCTTATATAGATGTTCATTTAGACCCAGCTTTTTTATGTTTTCTAGGAGGTTCTTCGGAATAACTCCAGTGGTAGAAAGAATAATAGGTATCGTCTGGGTACTATCCATTCTCCATTGTCTTCTTATTTGTATTTCCAGATCTCTGTACTTAGCGATCTTTTCGTTGTACTTAACACGCAGATTATTGTTGTTAGGTATCGCCACATCGATTAGAGTTGTTTGTCTTGTTAGTTTATTAACTAGCACGAGATCTGGTCTATTATGTGCTACAGTTTGGTCTGTGAGCACAGTGCGATGCCAGTATAGCTTGTAGTTGTCATTCTCAAGCATACTTTCAGGAACGTATTGATAATATGGGAGATGGTTTGTTTGTAGAAGTCCCAGTTTAATAGCTATCTCTTGATGAAGGATCTTCCCTACTAAGTCATGCCGTTCCTTATATTCAGTTGTAGCAAATGCCTGGCAGCCTCCGGTAAGATGTTGGATCGTTTCTTGGGCTTGACATCCATATCGGCATTTGTCGTTTTGGACCTGAGGGTCTTTGACAATATATTTCAGGTAATTTTTGGTTGGTATAACCTGATTCTGAATGGCGAGTAATGAACCTTCTGTTTCAGGGAACATCTTTCCTGATGTCAGCCAATAGTTCGACGCTATATTGTCGACATAGTCTTGACTGACTTCATTCGGATGTCGCCCGTGCAGAGGTTTACCCATCCAGTTGCGCATTTTTTCGTTCTTAGTTAGATGGTTTATGCGCATTTCTTGTTCCCTCAGGTTGATGCACAAATCGCGCGATGAAGAGTAGATGTCTCCGCCTGCACCTGAAAATAAGTTCTTAAATTAGTAATCTGTTTTTCTAATTGCTCGCTTATATTCATAAGTCCTCGACCTCCTAAATACCGCGGTAATGTCGTTCTTTCTACTGCACTTCGAGGATGGTGTTTTTGTGCCTTTGTGAGGTGTGTTCGTACTTTTCGCTGAAGATTTTCTATATCCGTTTTTGTCCACTTAACAATACCAAATGAGTAGCTAAGCGCGGAACATGCGTAGGTGTTTAGTGCCTTAAACAAATTTTTACTGTTAAGGTGTGAACGAAGCAGCTGTTTTACCCTTCGTATAAACTCAGTTGTTATCTCAGTTTTCATTTGCTTATGGTCAATCTTCCGCGCTTGCTTGATTCCGAGGTATTTATACATATCATTTTCACCCATGGCCTCGATGTTCTGGCCGTTTTGCATATCGAATCCGCCGGGCTGAACCTTTCCTTTGATTAGATTTAAGACACGGCACTTGTCAAGACCGAAGTGCATACTAATATCATTTGAGAAATTTTCAACAGTTTTTAGCATCTGGTCTAGGTGGTTTCGAGTGGAAGCCATTAATTTCAAATCATCCATATACAACAAATGATTAAGCTTCGCCACAACAGTGTTGTTATTTTTGATACTAAAACCTGAGTCGGTGGAGTTCAGTAGCTGAGATAGTGGGTTCATCGCTAAACAGAACCAAAGGGGACTCAAGGAGTCCCCCTGGAAAAGGCCCCGGTTAATTGAGATATCTTCAGTTTCGATGTTTTTTTCACCAGGTATTTGAAGGTGAATTTTAGTCTTCCACTCCGTCATTATATGCTTTAAAAAGGTCACTATATTAACATCGACTTTATATATCTTCAATATATCTATCAGCCATTGATGCGGCACTGAATCAAAGGCCTTCTTGTAGTCGATGAAGGAGGTAAAAAGGTTCCTCTCGCACTTTATTCAAATAGTTTATTTGATATTTAGTTAAGTCATCCTTCAATTAAATTCTAGAAAATTCGGTTCCTAATAACCTCATATTATTGCGCAACATAAACAATGGACTATCATTATCTGCAAATTTAACCTTTAATGGCCGTTATGCAAGGAACACTATTGTTTATAAATAGTAAAATAATTTACTAAAAACGCCTAAATAGGTTTTTAAAACTAAATAAGTTTTTTATAGATATAATACTTATAGAGTGTAAATTTTATGATATCATATTTTCAAAATAAAAGTTGCAGTATCTACTATTCTGTAATTCTGTAAGTTTCAGCATGACCAGTTTAAAATTCAAACCGATAACATTCCCACTAAGTTTTGTTATATTCTGCCAAATTGTTGTACAAACTAATTGATATGGCAACCCTGTTACTATGTCGTTTCGTTTGAAGCGTTTCGAAGCCGAACGTAATGCTATCTATCGATGATAAATACTACCACTGTTTCAGATGGAGCCATCTCCCTATATTACACATTTGAAGGCGGCGGTTCAAAACATAATTCTTGTTTAACGAGATTTTTCATATGTTTAAAAAAATATATTTAACGTTTTATTGCAAATATTTTCCACTTTTACAGTTTTATATATGTTGTTATTAAAAAAATTTTTGGTTTCTTACCGGAAGCTTTATTATAAGCAAAAACATACTATTTTTTCCTACTGGGACAAAACTGTAAATTCAAAAATTAAAAAAAAAATTCCTAAGTATTTCTTATAATTATATCTTGATGCTGTAAAAAAATTAATAAAATTATATGTCTGGTTTTCCCGCTTTATACTTGGAAAAAAGTAGTTTTTTTGAGTTTTTTTAAAAACGAAAACATGAAGTTTGCTTAAAAGTTGTCAAAACAGTTCTAGTCATCTCATACACCTTCTCAAATTTTTTCAAATTTTTTGAATTTGGAATTTATTTTTTGGGGGGTGCAGATCAACCTTAATTGCACTTCTGCTGACCTCTTTAGAGCAGCGGTATCGAAAGTGCCAATTGCCATGATGGTTGTAAACCTTCTTAGAGCAGATGGCACACGAAGAAGAAAGTTTTTCTACTGACAGAATATTAAAAGAAATAAATCTCTGATTTGTAAATCTATACATCAAAAGGTCTCTGGATGAAAAGATTTATGTTTAATACCACTAGTTTATCTATGAAAACGAGAAAAACAAGCTAAATTTTGCTGAGAATGTCAATTTTGGAACCGCAAAAAGATGAAAAAAGAACCTCTCCTAAAACATCCCTTACAGGGAGGTAGGTGGAACGGAAAAGAATCGATTTACCAAGAATCTTACGCGGTAGAAAAAAATGTTTCAAACCAAAAATGTAGCCGAGATAATTTTGAACAAAAATATTTAATTACACTTTTTGTGTAGAATGAACCGTTCTCGCAGAAACAATACTTGAAGCGAACGATAATTTCAATGTCAGTTACGCGCGCAAAATCAATTTTTTAAATTAATTTGTATCAACTCGACAGGAAAAATTCGGAATCTTTTGATCAGAGTGTCCTATCGACAAAAATCAAAATGTTTTTAAAGTTGAAGAGTGCAGCTTTTGTATGCAATTTTTGCATTTTTATCGTGATAATAAAATTATCACTTCCACCACGATTCTTACCATTGACCGATCGCTGTGGAATTTCCATATTAAGTTGAATTTAAACTTTCACATTACAAATGATTTCACGTCATGGGAAATACTTCCACGAAGACAGGATTAAGTGGAATTTGTAGCTGAAGTGTAGTTTCGAAAAATCATACTTCGGTAATCGAAAACAAGCAGTTTTAAAAAATGGCAAATATCGCGCAACGTTTATTTATTTAACAGCTTCATAGAGACTTCATTTGTGACAAAATGCAGACGAAAGCTGCACTCTTCACCTTTAGCAAGCATTTTGTCGATAGGACACTGATCAAGATATCGAATTTTTACCGCCAAGTTCATATAACTTTTGTTTAAAAAAATGATTTGTAGTTTTAGGGAAGCCCGGGGGTAGGATTAGCAAACTTTATTGGATCCTTTTTGGGGGGTCCCAAAATTTACATTCTAAGTAAAATTCACCTTGTTCGTATGATTTGAGGTTTACACAAACACAAGGAATCTAAAAAACATTCGATAAAATTAACCAAACCTATCCTTACCAAAATCCCATACAGAAATTAATTTTTATGAGTTTTATGTTTAAAAGTTTTCATTATTATTAATGACTTGCGACATTATTCCTATCGATTTTTTAGGAATACCTCAAAATGGTTCAGTACAAAGAAATACCAAGAAAAAAGTAAAATATGAATAAAATGCTGCTCGTAAGTACTTTTTAATGGGAATAATTTCTAGAAAATTTAATATTAATAGGTTATTTTTAAGTCAACTAACTATTTATTTAAGATGTTTTGCAGCCTTATCGACTCGATTCAATGTCAGATAAGATCTTGAAATCATAAAAAGATCACCCTTGTTTATCTGAATCCTAATCTACCTATCACAAAAGTAAATAAGATCAAATACTGACTCATACCTCTTCGTTTGTACATTGCATAAAAGAATCTATCACGCTGTGGTCATCGTCGTATCTATCATTTTCACTTTTGTTATCCGATTCACTATTTTCACCGTTTTCTTCTATATAATCCGATGATTCAGTAACTGTAACACCTTTTACCGATATCAGGTTGTTATTTTGTTCTTCATTATCACTAGTTGTCGACGAAACGGTCACTTCCTCACTCATGTTTAATTTTAGTACTATCACAGAAACCACAAAACTTAATACCGATACTTAATCACCTTTTACAACACCAATAGCAATTAGTACATGGCATTATGTATTTCACTACACCACACCTTTGTGAAGTTCCTCGCGTAGTACCTACTCTGAATTAAGTACTTAAATGTGTTTAAAAAATGCTGATTGTCAATATACTTCGTAAGCGATATTTATAAAGGTACTGATAAGAATTTTATTTAGCAATACGACTGTTTGTAGACATCGTGTTTTTTAAATCGTTAACGATGTGTAGAGGTGCTTAGATGTAACGGTTCGTTACCGAGTAGTCGTTACTCAAGTAACAAATTTAATAACATAAAATTTTGATATTATAGTTATTACATGTTATCAGTACTGTTTGTATCGATGTTGCTATGACAATTAAGCCACAAGCTTCTGATAAGTAAATTGTATGTCATCTGTTTGAGAAACAGTTACTACAAAACTAACGTGTTGATTTTTTTTGACCAGGATAATCTACTGAAAGTTAAGTAGTCTTATTCTAATTATTATCTATATTATTATAGGTGTCGGAAAAGTGCACTTTCTCCATGTTTTACGACCCTTCGACGAACGTTTCCATGTTGTCTAAATTTCATTCCTTTTTGTTCACAGTTCTTTTATTCTAATTTCTCAGTTTTTCCCTGCTATACATTTTCTTCTTTTTCCTATTCTTCTAGACTCTTAAACACTATTTTCAATAACTTATTTTCATTCATTCTTATGATATATCCAAATCATTTAAATTGTTTTATTTCTACTTTGTTATATTTTTTGATCAGTTATTATTAATTAATTATCTTCATTTTTATGTCCTACAATGTTTAACATCTCTACTGATGTTAATTGAATTTCATTTTTTTCCATAGAACTCATGATTCACTAGCAGATGTTATAGCAGCTATAACGTATTTTAAAAGTAAGTTAGAGTAAATTCTCAGAATGCTACGTTTTATTTCATTAAAAATATGGACGAAACGTATAACAGTTTGACGTATAAACGTATGTACAGTGAGCTCGTAAAGGTTGGAATAAATTCGTTAAACGTTTGATTTAGCCAATGGGTAAGTCAATAGGGACAAGCTCAGACAGTTCCAATTTATTTTTCAGTTGCGCATTTTTTGATTAACTCTTATTTTTTTATTTTGATATGAATGTCATTTTTTTTTCTTATGTCGCTTATGTCAGATAACCGTATGTTCGAGAAATAAAGATATTTTACTCATATTTTTATATTTATATGTTTATATAAATAAACCTACAAAATATTCCCATAAGAACAAATCTAGTGGGGACAGATCAGGAGATCTAGCTGGCCACTCTAAAATTCTCTTCAGCCAATGCATTTATTAGGAAAAACATTATTTAGGTTATCACGTACATGTCGTGGGTAATGCGGTGGTGCTCATCTTGCTGGTACAGAGCCGTAAATGCGGGGATTATTCGATATTGAAGTAAATCTAAATACAAAAATCGTAAAATAGTTTCGAAAATCTTTCGAAAAATTTTTCATTTTAAATCTAAATACTTGTCACAACTTGTCAAAAATGGTCCCACAATTTATTCCCTACAATTCCCGCCCACACGTTGACTGTCTTTGGATACTGAGTGTGCGTTTCCACCGCCCATTGAGGGTTCTCTTGTGCCCAGTACCTACAGTTGTACAGTTCTGTCTTTCATTGTACATGTTATCGAGAAGGTGGCCTCACCTAAGAAAACACATTTCCGTACGAATTGCGGATCATAATTACATCGATTCATCATTCATTCACAAAATTCTTGTCCGCGATTGAAATCATCTTCATGATTGACTTCAAGTTGAGGCTGTGAGTGCAAGAACGTCCTAATCCCAATATTAATAAGTGTTAGAATATGGGTTTGAAAAAAAATGAAAATTAGGAGATCCACTATAACCTCGTTTAAAAGTATTTTTTGGTTTGAATGGATGGAAGTATGTTAGATATTATTAATTTGATAATTTGATAACCAATTTTGGATAAACACTTATATTCGATTTTTTAGTGTGGGTCCACTTTGCATTTAAAATATTTTTAGTTAGTGAACGGGTTATCCCACAAAATAATACACTCGATATTGCACCAGAGACTTTATTACCACAGAATGTGTATAAAAACATCAGAGAAGTTAAAACATTTCACACTTGTATTTTGATATAAAAACATATAGTTAAAACTTTTTAAAAAAGTGTCGTCAAAATTTATGTAATAGCATAACGTTTTCGATCTGTTCAACCTGGAGTTGGTTCCAGTTGGTGGAGTCCAGTTGGTCTGTGTCGTTTTAACTGACAAGTACCACGTGTTAAAAATCGAGCAGGGAGACATGTAGTCCCCAAAGTAATAAATTTTATCCATTGACATCGACCTAGAATCACAACATAATTAAATTTGGAATGATGTAAACCCATATATTGATGTGACATCCACAACTTTATTGTTAGCTTCAACTACATAAGGCACTGAGGATGATCTGTTCAGATCGAAAACGTTATGCTACTACAACAAATTTTGACGACACTTTTTTAAAAAGTTTTAACTATATGTTTTTAATAACAAAAAACAAGTGTGAAGTGTTTTAACTTCTGTAAGATTTCCTTTTATTAAGAACCGCTGTTTCAAAATAAACACCTTCATTGTTCGAATACTTATATTGAAGAGTATTGGGAAAGTTTTTCCTAAACCTTAACCATTGAATTTTAAGCCACTTTACCTTGGTTTTTGATTCGGAAACTTTTCTGTTGGTTATATTACTTTCAAGCCATTTCGTAGAAAAAAAAATTATTTGTCCATGTTTTTTACTGTGAACTGATTTTTCTTTATTTATCACTATATGCCAGTCTTGGAGTATAAATACATTTGGATGAAATTTCTTTTCTTTTTCTATTATACCAAAATCTTGGTCAGATGGCAAGTAAGAATGACCACTTATCAGAAACTTGTGGTCTATTTCTTCTACGGTAAAATCTGGAGATTTAGTTATACAATTGCATAATAATGACATTTTAATATTACGATTCTAACCACCATATTGGTCAGAGTACATAATAAGTCGTTTCGATTTTACGAAATGTTTTATGTAAAATAAAATGCAGGATCCTACCTCTTGAGGACTCCTAGAGGCGACGGTTTCATCCCACATAAACATAAATGAGTTGTTAGTTTCCATTTCATGAATATTGAAGCAGTATGTCCATAATTGCCCCTTGCAGTAACAAATTCCCGCGGTAAGCAGAGGTGTAGGTAAAGTCTTTATCTCTGATCGAAACAGATAACCGACGCATTTCCTTTTTTTGCCATTTCGGTGTCTCTTTTTTCTAGAATTTCTAGTACTCTTCACCTTCTTTTGACGAAGTTCTTTTCCAGTTTCGAGTTGTTTACTTGATTCACTATTGGCTGCCTTTATTTTGACTTCAAATAAATACACTTCTTACAAGAGTCAGCAATTGGTGGATGACAGTGTGAATTGTATTCCTTGTTGAACGTTTCTCGGAAAATAAAACAGGATAGGGGATAGAACAAAATAAATATATTTCACAATAATTAAAGGTCACAATGATAATTTACAAAAAGATCCAAAAATAGCAATCAAGAATGATAATGGGTGATAATGTCGATAACTTTTTTAAAACACATTATTTGATAGCAAGCTATTATTTTGAAGTCGAATTAGTGCAGTTTAGACTTAATGAGACATGTTTTTATCTACTAAAAGATTTAAAGCGAAAAAATTATTTACAGGCAGCGGTACATTGTTTATGCATAGTGGAGTATAAATATTCTCAGCATCGCTCTGAATGGCTTGATTAAGCATAGGTATACAGTTTACTTTAATTGCTATCGATATTTAACTTCATCTTTCCTCACTAGAGGTCTCTAGTAGCATACTCTGGTAATTATTTTCCTATAATTGCCTTAGTAGTCAGTGCGTTTTGGTTTGGTTTGAGTCTTCTTACAAATTCTCGCTGATGACGCGTAGACCCAGAAACACGTGTAAGAGAATGGTAAGAGACTCAAATTAAATCGAAACGCAACCGTCATTTATTTTATCATCCACATATTTTCAATTCATGTAGTTAATGACATATTAATTATATTATTAAACATACATTTAATTAAACAGTAAAAGTAACCGTTACCTAAATAGATATAAGTACCTCTATGAGAAACATTATATATTTATTAATAAACGATAATGGTAATGCGAAGCTAAGATGTTGATTTTTTGCGAGACCAATGTCACTCTGTTTTCCCAGATACCAAGCAGTAATATTTACTGAAAAATACATTAACCGCGCGATTTATTGAATGTTCGGACATAATTTTATAAGGTTTAATTCAAATCCAATATGTATACCGGTATAAATTTAAATATATAAATTATTTAAAATCTGGTTTTAAAAATCCAAAACAAAAAAAACTTAGTCCAATCTCAAATGAGTATAGTAAATTCCCAGCGTCGATCAGTAACAGGGTCAACATGAGAGGCAACATGTAGACGAGTAGAAAATCTTGACAACTGAATTAAAAATAATGAAAACACCGCTACATGTTCTGCAGAATAGGTTCACCTCAAATGAAGTGGATTACAAATATAATGTTCAAAAATAAATGACAAGGAACAATTCCTAACATGCTCCTTACCTTGATGTGATAAAAGGAACAATATTTAATTTTGTTGCGAGGAGTACTTTAGGGATGCCTCCTGTCTCCGATTCTCTTTAACGCCTAGGTGTAATACATTATTAATGAATCTCTGAATCATTCATTCCCTTCAGATCTCTCTTGGATCCTCCATGGTCTTATATTCATAGTTTTCAGGTTGTCTTCCACGTCATCCAACCATCTTGTCCTGGGCCTTCCTTTTTTCCGCCTTCCTACCGGCTTCCACTGCAACATCTTCTTTGTCGTTTTCGTGTCTTCTTGTTACTGAACATGTCTCTGCCATGA